AAGTATCATTTAGTTCTCTACGTACAGCTTCATCCAGAACCAGGAATCTAACTTGAGACAAATTCAGCTTTCCTGTTGAGACCAGGTCATCCAGCCTTCCAGGAGTTCCAACGACAATATCCACCTATGAAATACATCAGAGTATGAACTGGTGTCATAACTAACTAGGCACTACCAGCTTTGTCTAAATTTAAGATTATGAGACTGTTCTCAGTGTGATGCTCTATTTTCCATTCATTATAACTTCATAGCAACCTACAGCAATTTGAGTTGGACGCCATCTGGTCTCCACTCCCACCATCATATGCAAATCAGAGACAATTTCCATGCTGCTACTGACCAGTAAAATTTTCACTACGTTCAAGGAGAGAGATCTCACAACCTCTCTGGGAAACCTGCATTTCAGTTTTATAGCCATTTCATCAGCAAAACCTGCTTCAGGTGTGAAGCCTGCCCTTGTTTTGGGAAGTGCTGTGTCCCTTCTCCCACCCCCCCAAGCTGTGTAACTGTTATCTGAAGCCAACAGATTTGCTCTTAAATGGTGGATATAATAAATTAAACTTTTCTCACTGTGGGAATACACATATCAAGTCTATTAGCTACAGAAATGGCTCCACATTTTGCCAGATTCACCACTGGGAATTTAGCACTCACATGAAAGCCTGGCAATCTTTCAGGTCAAACCTGCTTAGGAGAGAATTTCTATTTTGGCAGCTGGAATCACTGAAAACACTGTCAATAGTGATGCTGTCTCACTTCAAAATCAAGTGTTAAAAAAACAAAAGGCTATGCTATCCCTGAAGTCTGACTGGATTGACTGTACATCCCATGATGCTGAGGCTGGAGCCTCCTGGGCAGGACTTGGTCTGTGGTGTAGGTTGACCCTGATAAATGCAGACCAGTTTAATACACATAAAGCTGAGGCAGAAATTAATAAGAAAAATATCTCTGCCTTCTTAGTTAAGGACAAATGGCAAAAACTACACCTCTATTTTAAAATCTTCAGAAATACTATGGCTTAAATAGAATTTGACCAAGGGCTATAAAAGCATTTGTACTGACAATTGCCATGGAAATAAAGCAACCAATGCTAGAGCAGTGCAAGATGCACGAGCTATCAGCTGCATTCTTTCTTTTCATCAGGTTCAAAGGATTCAGAAGCAGCACCATTACTATTCTCTAACTACATCATCAATTATTCAGAACCCAAACTAATGGACAAAACCACAACTTACTCCTTGTTCCAGTACAGAAAGTTGATCTCTTGCAGCAACCCCACCAATAATCAACAGTTCCCTAAAATTACAACAATGTATTTTAACACTTGCTTATTTATTGTTTAGAATATATATTAAGCATCTAGCTGAAGACTGATTCTTTTATTAGTATTTGACAATGAAAAATTCTGAATAGCAATTTTAAGAAAAAAAGAATAGGAAAGAATTTAAAAGTGCATCCCTTCTGATATAGTGTATTGCATTTTAATCCAAGAAGTGTTTTGTTACCAAACTGTATTTTAATTTGATTACTTTAGCACCTGTTGTATTAAACATTAACAGCTTAACCAATTAAATCCTAAATAAGAATGTCTTCCTTCAAAATGCCAGACATAAGTTAGTTTAATAAGTTTCTGCATTCTTGAAAGCTAGAAATGCAAATACCAGTAACTAACTGAATCTTGCATCATATCTTGCAGTTCTGCACTGCTACTCTCCTGCAAGTGTAGTACAAGCACCCTTGTAAACTGACTGCAGCTTAGAATATAGAGACACTTGTTCAAGTTTTAAGAGCACAGAGAAAAGAGAAACAACTTCAGACAAAAGCAGCTTGCAGATAATTTTTCAGAACTGCCTGCCCATGCTAATCACTGCAACATCTGCCCCGTGGGCACACTAATGTAATTAGAGCAGACCTTGCATGGAACTATTGGTTGGTGATGAAATACAAACAAGATGAGGGCAGGAGGAGGTGAGGGGCAAAGGCAGATGCTCAGAAAAGAAAGGCAGTAAACAAATGTGCTTTGCTTGATTAAAAACATTTCAGTATCATAAACCTTTGATAATCTCAAGAAAAAAACCCACATAGATTTGTCTAGTCAAAAATATATAGGTCATAAATAGTCATGAAGTCATGTCCATTCACAAAACCATAAATACAATGAAAACATTAAGTGTTACCTTAATTTGGGATTATCAACATATTTTTTGAACTGCTTCACATTGTTCAGAGTTTGTTCTGCCAGCTCTCTTGATGGTTCTACAATCAATGCTTTCGGAGCATTTGGGAGGTTCTGTGTTTGAACCACTTGTGCATTTCCTAAATGAAAACATATGCCATTAAAATAAACTACCTTCCTATTCTGGAATTCTTTACTGGAAAAAAATGCATTTCTAAATTCAAAATATTAGATAATCTGTGGTTTAAGACAGTGTAAAAGGCACTAATATTTCTACCAGTAAGATCATTGTAAGACTTTGCACAAGACAATAATGAAGCAATTAAAGATGTTCTGTAACAATTTTAATGTACAACTAAGAGAAGTTAACAAAGCAAACCTACCTGAGTGCTGTGATTTTACCACACTACCATCAGGAGCCTTGCAAAGACCAATATAGCCATCTTTTGGGGGAAACTTGAAATCTTCTTCACCAAAATTGAATTTTAATTCAGCATTCTAGGTTTCAACAAATTTATGTCAGAGATAAGATTCAAAAGACCTTGTAAAATGTGACAGCTCTGTAACTGATTGTCCCATGAGAAACCAGTTAACTCGGAGAAGGGGGTGTTTACTCCCATTTTAGAAGTTTCCCTTCCCCAAGTCATCTAAAACCTACAACATTTTTGGCATGGTTCTAACTCTTAAAACTAGTTTCTTCTACATCAGAATATTCCCATACTTACAGATATACAGAAACCTTGTTTGAACTTCTATGTTCCACTCATTTTCAATGCCAAAACAACACTTAAAAAAACCCCAACAAAACAAACCACATTTTTTTTTGGACTTACAGATTTCTCTAATTGCCAAAACCTTTTGCTAAAGCCTGTATTCATTAAGGGATCATCCCAGAAAGACTAACTCCAGAAAGACATAATACTTCACTACTGCAGTGTCAAAGCAGAGAATGAACAAATGGGAATTTTGGCATGTTGAAGTTATTTGCTTGTATCTGATGTATCATAGTACCTTGAAGCACTGGTACTAGGAAAGAGTTAGCCATGCTATTCTACCCTTCTATTCAAATTTAAGTAGTTCAATTTGAATTTAAACGTTGAATATTTAACTGGAATGGTCAAAGCTAACAGTGTGGTGGCCACTCCAATAGTGAAATACTTTTAGGTCAAAGGCAATAGAGAGGTACAAGCACAACTGTACTAACTGTAGGTCACTATGTAAATTCTAGATAAGGAGCTAATTACTAAAACTAGAATAATATGCATGACATTACACATCTGTGATATTCTTAAGTTACCTTCAGCACACAAGCTGCAAAAAGTGCTTGGTTCCTTATGTGTGGTGGGATTTCAAACGCCAGGCCAAGGTCCTTCCCTGAAAGCAGGGTTAGTTCAGTCAGACTCTATGTACATGTGCTTTCCTCTCCCTGCCCCTCCCCAGCACAAATTCCAAGGAAGAAATTGAATAAAACTTACCGTTTTTGGAAAACTTTATTTGTCCTTTATCTATGTCTAGATAGCACCCAATGGTATCATGCATAGTGAATTCCTGTAACAAAAAGAAATTTGCAAAGCTAAATTTCCCACTGCTCCTCATTAAATGCTCATGGGAGAGAAGCAAGTTCAAATTATTGCAGTATTACCCCTGTAAATACCTTGTATGTTTTTATTTTACTACAAATCTTCAGTAAACTGCCCAATTTATTATCTTACGCATTTAAACATTTATTGCTGTCTTAAAATTATTTTTGGGCTTTTTGGGCTCCAGTGAAGCTGGGGAGGGGCTGATACAGGGGCTTGTAGTGGGAAGACAAGGGGGAATGGATCAAAACTGGAGGAGGGGAGATTTAGGTGAGACATCAGGAGGAAATTCTTTGCTGTGAGGGTGGTGAAACACTGGACCAGGTTGCCCAGAGAAGCTAGGGCTGCCCCATCCCTGGCAGTGTTGAAGAGCAGGTTGGATGGGGCTTGGAGCAACCTGGTCTGGGGGGAGGTGTCCCTGCCCATGCAGGGGGGTTGGAACTGGATGATCTTTGAGGTCCCTTCCAACCCAAATGATTCCATGATTCTATGATTAAGTCATTTACTTGGAAGTTTTCTGCATTATGGAAAAGTGCATGAATCATTCATTAGCCAATGTAAATCTCAGTTTACAGCACCAAACCCAATAACAGAAACTTCTATTTTGACTAAATAAAAGACTTATATGTATGTTATGTATACTTAAGTACTTCATCTAAGTATCTTGAAATCTGTTCATTGTAAGGAAATTCAACAAAATCTGTATATTATAAAGCGCTTTTAATTCAACAGCTCAGAAGTCACCACTATTAAAAAGCTACAACATAATAAGTAGTCATAGAAACTGCAAGTTTTATGGCACTGAGAGTTCATTAATACCATAAAAAGATGAGTTTCTGCTGTATTATTAATATTTATGTAAGTTATGCTTGAACATCTGAACTCTTAACTGGTACACCACCCAAAAACCACCACAGATACTCCTGGCAGACATTTTCAGGAACGTGCATGGCTACCTGCATTGTGTTAGCATTTAAATATATCTTTTGACATATCAGAGAATTGAGAGATGACTTCTACTTTAACTCCTGGTAAACAGGATATGATGCCCTCACTTAAACACTCACCAAGGTACACCGATGGGTTAGGGTTGTTCAAGCTAAAAGTCACAACATACATCCAGGAGGTAAGTGAACCTCTAACCTCTAACATACAGGTTTATCTTCTAAATAAGAGTCCATATATTGTCAGTCTAGCCACAACCATAAACCTCAAGCTGATAACTGCTTTTGTTAAAGCTGTTAATATGCTTTTATCAAAAAATGCTTCAGTGTTTCAGGGTACCTTTGCTCAGTGACCTTCCCTTGAAAGTTAGCACTATTACAAGAGAGTTGATTGTTACAGCACAGAACCAACCAAAACTTCTAATACTGCTTGTACCAATAAGCTTACCTCACCATAGCTGTCAAATTGCTTGTTGTGAGACTTCTTACCAGTTCCACCAAAGCCAAAGCCAAATTTATCAGTGCCTGAAGACAAGACAAAGTGCAGGCTTTTATCTTTTGGTGGACAGGTTATGTTTTTAGATCTTGGTATCCATAACTGTGTATTTTTATCAGTACATTTATTGATTTTACTAGTCGTCAGTTATCTTCATTACAATATTGAATTAAAAGAGAAAAAGTCCAAAGAGACAAAAACCACTGCTTTCACCTAAGCAGATTTCCTCTCACAGGAAGAGCAACATTTGCACAAGAAGTTTTAAGCTTCTCGATACTGCTTTTCTTCCCAAGGAGCCCATTCTCTGCAAGCCTAGGACTCCAGCTATTCCATGTGAATATAACAAATGTCTATGGGATTCTTCCTTTGAAGGAAACTCACCCAAATCTAGTGAAGCCTGCATAGTTGACCAACCAACTCTGCACAAGCCTTGGTCGTGACAGGAAACTTCATAGTAGTATTTCCCTTTAAAAGAGAAAGAAAGGATGTAAAACATCACCTGAATTTCAATTTTATCAAGGTGATTCAAGTCTGGCTGCTTCCAAGACCATGCAACTCTAACATTTTCACCCCTGCTGAAAGCACCATAAAACCCCCTGTTGTGTCAGTGTGAAAAGGACCTGTAGGTACTTCTGTGTGCAAGGAAGAAAGAGATGATCAGAGAACAGCAGGCAAAAGACAGACAACCACAAGCTGAGAGACAGACTATGAAAGGCACCAAAGGAGTGATAAGCTAGAGACTCCAGTGGTTCTAATGAATCCACACTGACAACACTGCATGAGTAGCTATTTTCTACCAATAACACTTCAATAAAATGTGTTTTAATGAGCATTAGTTAGGATTCTGTCTCTTGACTAAATCCCCTATTAGAAAAAAGGTAATTCATCACACAAGGAGAGCAAAACAGAGGTATTTCTCCTTCCTAAGCTTTTGGCTGGCAGCAAGCTGCATGACGGCACCCTTGCTCACATGGTTCAGTTTGCTAGTGTAGGTGGTTGCATGTACATGTGTGACAAGCAAGTGCTTCATCTGGAACTTCTGCCAGTCTCCAAAATCCATCATTTTATACATACCTTTAGTCACACCTCTAGTTGCTCTGCATCCATGCCATTCCTTTACCTCTCTGCTCTGACAACACAAACCATCTGATCCAATTGCTGAAAATTAGAAGACAATCTTAGTTAAGGACATTGCCTAAGTGCTTTTAAAATAAATGTGCATGCATACTTTCTTCTAGTTTGTTTTTCACCAGGTGAACATTTTCAAAGGAACATGTAAAGTAGCACTAGGACAACTCACCAAAAGCTGTTCCTCTATCATATGGGTTCATCTGCCATTTATTGAGCACTAGATGCGAAAGACAGCAACAGAAAAAAAGAATTAAACCAACAGGGTAAGCATGGAAAACTGAAATTACAAGTTCACATTGGCCCTACAGTGTTTGGCACAGCTTTCTGTGGAGATAGCTTTGTTCCAGCCCAATTTGTTGGAGGTCAAAACGAATGCTTGCAGCTTGAAGGAGGACACAGATTCATAATGCAAAGGTGCTACATGAAATTTAGGTTATTCCATTCAGGTGAGCACAGATTAAGCTACTTGCTGAGTGTATTTACATTACATTCTTACAAGGAGGATCCCTTTTTTTCAAGTTGACTGTGCTGTCACCACTGCAGCAGTAGTTACACCAGAACTGCAAGATGAGAACTTCTGTAATACCTTCAGAGTGTTGTTGGTGCAGCTATTGTCATGTGGATAAATCTCAGCCCGTCAATACCACAGACTGGACACGGTTACCAGCTTTCAAGCTGCAAGTTGATGTAAATGGATGTATAATAGACCCTCAAATACTATGAGGATATTGTCATGGTTAGAAGCCATGCCACATCAGTGGATTCTGGCCCTGTGCACTTCCTGCTCAGTTTAGTGGTTACTAGTTCAAGATGTTGTTATTCAGCTTCCACTTCTAGCCAGGTGCCAAAAGGATTACAGTAACTTTATTCAGCACAGCAGGACTGAATGACACACTGCAGACCTACCAAAGCCACATAAAATTCAGCTTCAGCCTAGAACAGCTTTCAGCTCAGGCTCACTGAAAAGGCTCACACAACTGTGTGGTCTCACTGCTGATGGTCTGGTTTATTCCTGCAACTGGAATATTTTTTTAACTCCTTTTTTGAAGCTGGACACTACTCCCACTTCATATCTTGCAAGGCACTAAACTAGTACAGCTCTAAGAACACTGCAGAATGTGGTGTGAACCAGCCAGCTTTAAGCTGAAGACCAAAAAGCACCACTAAGAGACTGCACTTAAATTCACCTCCCTTCTTCCCATGACTTCCCAGTATATTTATATCCACTTTTTTATAAAATCTGAAGTGATATGCCATTTACATTATCCCAAATAATGGAAAAAATACTTAATCTCATGGCAAGTTAGGTTAACTTTACTTTGAGAGGTGATGGAATCAACATGAATTAAGTGTTCCAACCATGAGAAGGGTGATGTTAAAAGCCTTACCTGCCCCACCCGTTTTAATAGTTGCTTTCCCTTTCTTGCCTTCCATCTGGTCCTTCAGTGTTTCATAAACAATCTGGATCACTGGAATGCTGAAAGCCTAAACCAGAAAGTTATCTTCACTTGACAATTTGTTCAGATATTTGCAGATACACAGTCAGCCTAGTTTTCAGGAGCAACATTCAGAAACCCTTTAAAACATGCCAACACAAACGTCTGTAAATACTATTAATGACTGCTTAAACACATCCACAAACATACACATGCTCTTATTATATGTACACACACCCCACCTCCCTCCACTTACAGACTTGCAATTTCTGCCAATTATTACTTACACCAGTTTTTCCACTCCCTGTTTCAGCAGCCTGGAGGAAGAAAAATGTAAAAGTTTAACCTGAGTTACAATTCACTGTATGAATTGTTCCACAGTTCTATTTTAATAAACTTAAACTTTTTAATAAAATAAAGTTTACTTTTACTTCTATATAATACAGAAAACATCAGAGAGTAATGTCATGGCTTCAAACAAATTAGATGCAAATACAAACAGGGAATAACTTTACAATATACTTCAAAAAATAAAAATCCAAGGCTCACAGAGTTCACTAGAAAAACTTTCTGTATCTGTCAGATTTCTGGAGGTGCTACAGAAGGTTAGAGGAAGCATGACTTTGGTTATGGAATCAAGAACAGAGGGATGCACAAAAGACCTGATGAACAAGGCTTCCTAATCTGGTATCTTCAAGGTTACTGGTAGTGAAGCACTGGTACAGGCAGTACCAGACCTACCCCATGCAGATCTATGTCAGTGCTTATGACAAAAAGGAGAGCAGGTGACATCAGATATCTCTCATGCACACAGAATCACAGAATCATTTTGGTTGGAAGATATCTCTCATGCACACAGAATCATTTTGGTTGGAAAGACCTTTAAGATCACTGAGTGCAGCTGCTGAGAATGCCTGTCTAGCAACTAAAAAAAAAGCCTAAAAAGAATTATTCCAATCTGCAAGAACAGTTGGAAACACACCAGGAACTCAAAAGTAGTTCCCAGATGAAGAATGTATTTTGTATTGAAGAAGGACAGAGACCTAGTCTAACTGTGGATCCTTCTGCAAAAAAGGGAATTGAATACACAAAGGACAAAGACACCAGCATCCTAGGAACAGAACCATCCTGCATACATACCATCAGTACATCACCACCTCCCAGGATCAGGGGGATAGATTCTGCTTGAATATCTGTAGGAAGACTACAGGAAAGAAAACATTAACACAAATTAAAAAAAAAAGGTTTATGCTTATACAGGAACTCAAAGAAACCATGGTCATTTTCAAGACAGAAAACAGCAGGTAAATGTTCTTCTTCTTGGCATGCAGCTAAGGAAGTGAAAAGGATTCCACGTACAAGGAGAGCTGGAAACAGAGGTATAACTTTAGAGGAAGTGACTAGTGGCCCACCTTCTGAGAAGGCTACATCTCACATCATTGTGCTAAACTAAAAGAGAACAGTTCAAGCATATATTCCCTGTTTTCCTTTCTTCAATAGAGTTTCATGTTTAAAGCCACTTGCACAGCCCTGATTTACAGTATTTGTCTGCAAAACTGGAGAAGACTGTAAAGATAACTAAATATAACCAGCAATTCCAGACAACCACAGCTAATTAATACCAGCATATGAGAAAAGAAGGACTACAAGCACAAAGATTGTTCTGAAAGACAATTCAAAACAAACATTGAAGTGAAATATTTTAGCCAAACTAGTAACTAAAACCAGGAAGAATCACTTTTGTAGAAGATGATCACACAAGCATCAACTCTGAAGAACACAAATTCCAACCACAATCTGGAAAACATTTACTACACCTGGGTCAGGTATGTGACAGTATTTCATCCAATAATCCCACAGTACATAATGAACAAACCATAAGCACAGAGGCTTTTATCACCAAATGGCACTGAAGTATTAGCAGTCATGCTTTGCTTGACCAAGATTAAATGCTGCCACTACAGTCACCATTTGTGTTCTTCAGTCATTCACACTAAAAAGAAGTGCATGAAATGCAATGACAATCAAAAGAAAACATATCTGCTCTCCTTTGATGTGACAGCAGAAGTATTTTAAGAACTACATCATGTGTTGCTAAAGAGCAAAGCAGATTCTGCCAGGCCCAGACACATTTCTACTTACAGCCAGTCCATCTCCTCTACTGCTTGAGCTATCTCAGGCATAACACCCATTTCTGCAAGAGATGAAAAAAGAAACAAGCAGTTATTTACCTCAAGACAGCCCAGAAGGCTTCCAAGTGACAACACTTCTGACTGCAGGCAGCAACGAAGTAGCACTATTTGTGGTGAGAGGCCATGCAGCCTCCCCTGCAAAGCTCAAGGGACAGATGAGAGGCATCCTCCCTTCCCCACACAGGGCTTTGACAGTTGTCCCCACTTAGAGCAGAGCACATCAGGCACATACCAGGCACGGGGGTTGACACAAAAAAGCAAACACACTGAGAACTGAGTCATATTTCAAGGATAAGACACTTGGAACGTTTAAGGAAACTGATTATTTAAAAAAAAACAACAGGTAAGACTTAATCACAAATATCCTGACAGAATCCACAGCTAAGACAGTTTTCTAAAAAAGAAGACCTGCATCATATAAGGACTCCAATTTGAGATGGTTACACCCACATTTCAAACCGTACCACAGAACCGAACTACTCCTATTTAAAAAACCTGGCTATTACCCACTGCAACCCACCAGGACACCTCCTGTTGAGGAAACCATTCAGCCGGAGGGACAAGCCTGACTTTTTTTAAGCAGCCCGCCAGACGCAGACACGCCACATACGCACCAGACCCAGCAAACCCGTATTGAAAACCGCTCCTGAAGACCTACGAAAGCCTGGGGGGGGAGGGGG